GAGGAGGCGGAAATTACCCTAGCTACCACAACGTGCTTGGATGCAGCTGTGGTATTCACAGACTCTCAAACAGCCATGCCAAACTGCAGCAAAGGTCATGTGTCTACCCAAGCAATTCAGACATTGAAGCGCCGAAGTACTCCGATGCCGTTCACCTGTATGACACGAGTTCCTGGGCACGAAGGGCTGGAAGAAAACGAGGCGGCTCATACTCCGACCCGCGATCACGCCTACCGGGCTACCCCTTCCCGCTTTCTAGATGCCAGGACTGCGTTCGCGGAGGCTGAGTCTGTACATAACACTTACTGTGCAATACTGCAACGCCATAGGCTGGCGCGCAGAGAGCATCCACCACCGCACTCGAAGCTCAACAAAGAGGACAGCACCATATACTTAGAATACTGCAGAGCAACACATACACACAGAGCATACTAATGCATCGAATGTACCCAACATTACATGAATGTGTTTGCCCGATTTGCACCGTACCTGGCACGTTGGCCCACCTGATCCTCGAGTGTCCATGCAATATAAATACAGATCTGTTGCCTCCGCCGAACAGCTGCGTCGATGGTAAAGAAAGCGAACACCTTCTCAAAACGTGGGAGGCCAAGCTCGTTTTGGAGGACCCGGACCAACAACGACGTGTCGTCGCCAGAGCCAAGAAGGCAGCGAAGGCCAAAGGGTTCCTGGAATGAGGAGACCTCCCACCTAAGGTAGACACGTAACCTACACTGCTACACCGTTCCGAAAAATAAACATGTTTATTCCTCCTCCTCCCCTTTTTCCCCAACAGCTTTTCCTTCTCGCGGCAGAAGCGCCATTACACTTCTCCTCGCGCAGATGAAGCCAGCCTGGCGAGTCAGGCGTTATCCCGCTGTGTGCGTGGCTTTGGCCAGGCGACGTGACTAACGTGACTGACTTGAGTCTCTGTAGAACATCGGTCGCTTGGTGTGAGGCGTGCGATCGTATAGTTTACCTCATTCAAACGATCGATGATGACACACGGGCCATCATGGCATGCTAAGAACTTGGTGCATGGACCACGCTTTGTACTGGCGTCCGCAACCAGACGAAATCACCAGAGACGCTCCTCACAGGCTGGTGCTTACTGTAGTATCAGGCCTTTGACGTGGTCTGAGAAGCTAGCGTGCGTAGTCGCGCTATAGTCGACGATATTCCCCCGCCCGACAAGAATTTTCAGCTATACTGATATGTTGTCAGTGGTCGTCAAAGGGAGAATGGTATCCAAAATATAGTGAGGTGGACGTGCCTAAAAAAGAAAGAATTGACTATAACGTGTCGTTCCGGGTCTTGCCGTGTTGAAGGCGTATGTTATAAATGGCAAAATTTCGTCCCAGTTCTTATCATCAGACGCCTGGCACATTGAACGCATGTTCGCAAGTATTCGGTTCGCACGCTCGTTAAGACCACTTATTTGAAGAGGTGTTGCATGCCGAAAGAGCACAACCGTAGCAGCTGTCTGACTGCGTCCGCAGCGAACTGGCGTCAACGGTCGCGATTATCACGAGGGGTGGCCCATGTCGTAGGATGACGTACAGAATGTAACAAGAGCCGAGACGACAGCAATATAAATAGTCAATGGGCTTCGCGTATTTGGGCCAGCAATTACGTTGAATCTTTTCATAATTACCTTCATTAGAGAGGAAAAAATATATGGCAGATCCCACGTACATGTACCTGGGAATCGACATTATGTGAAGCATGCAGAGGGAAGGTGACCTTGTTGCAATATTTTTTATTAAGCGACACGTCCTGAAATGACGCTAAATATATGTACAAATGTTGCATGCACAGACAAATGTTGAAGAGTGGCATATGTTTATATAACCACTTGTTGGCACTTGCGCAATGATGCCAACTGGGACATGCGTATTAGCAACACTAGAAACTCATATGAAGCGCTGATGCTCACGACGATGCTGGTTTTGGGCAGTACTACATAAATGAACTTCTGGGCATAGCAACTAACCACAATTGAAGCTAACCCGACGTGACGGCTCTATCAAAACAGTACATATGTAATGTTTATAAAATTGGGTAGGCAACTCTCCAACCACTACTGACGTTGCAAAAAAATTAGCGTCTATTTTAAATGTAGTCCCTAGACCAGGCATAGCTCTGTGGTAAAATTCTTCATTGGCACGCAGAGAGCTTGGGTTTGATTGCAGCTGGAACGCTGACATTTATTCTTTGCATTCATCGGGTCGACGCTACCGATGCCGGGTATTTTTTAACGCTCGTGCGTTTATTCTGCCCGGGTGTATTCTCGTCGTTCCTGGGTAGATACTAAGTGTCAATCACCTGTGGCACATACCCAGATACCAGTGGCACAATCCCACCCATGGGTATGTTCCACTGTTTGGCGGAAGGTGTTTGATGACGTAAGCGATAGTATTGTGATTTTAGTCATGTCTTGACTGGCGCATCATATTCATCAAACCATCTTATCTTCTCATTCTAATTTTGGTTAACGCCAAGTTAAGGGGGTGACCACGGGGGTACCCAAACGTAGGCGGCTAGATAGATAGACACGCTCGAAGTCGTCAAAGTTCGCTAAGAACGACATATGTAACTGCGCGGTAGTAAACACGGACGACAAGAAGATGCAAGGACAAGCGCAGTCCTTGCATCTTCTTGTCGTCCGTGTTTACTACCGCGCAGTTACATATGTCGATCATGAATCACCAACTCGCCCAATCGTCCACCTTCGCTAAGAAATGCTTCGCATTTAAATATCAATGCTGATTTGAATTGTCGTTCTTCCACTTTTGCATTGTCATATGTACACGGTTATACCTTGATTTGGCCTTGGAATTTTTGAATCTTTGGAATCTTTGAATTTTATCCCATTTCATTGCCACTTCAGGTAACGCTACCTCACGGGGCGAAATGCACGCGGTGCACCTAACGCCGATATTCCTCGATTTTATGCAAAGACATAACTGTATTTCATACGACTGACAGATGGAAAAAGCTAACAAAATTATCTGTATCGGACTGGTCAGTAGCCATTTAAGCTGTCGTTTACGCTATCTACGGGAAAAGTTTTCAGAACATGCGATTAAGTTCTTTTGAATGATGGAACAGCACTGAAGAGGACGGAGGCAAGCTGACAAATTACGGGACTGACTAACAATCACATTTTCTTGCCTTTCCACTTCAATATATAAAGGTATAGCGCAATCAATAAACAACCAAAGGAACGACATGGCACTGCAAGAAAGGGCAACTTACTGACTCATAACGTGCAATATTTTGTTTTTACGAAGCGACAGTGAAACCACGCTAGCGAGTCTCCAATTTTTTGGGTCCGATAGGCCTAAGAAAAGTCACAGCTTTGCCGCAAAGGCGAAGCAATGAACACAATAGCAACAAATTGGAAGGTCACGCGCAGAATGGAAAACAGATTGAAACAATCCCCGCGTTTCTCACGCATGAAACGTACTCACAGGCACAGAAGAACGCGAATAAGCGTATCCGTCGTTACTTCGCTGTGTCTGAAAAGCACATCATTTTCGCAAACGGAGGCTGTGCAACGATTGCAGTGGCCTTTGTGCGCCCCGTAAAAACAACAGAATCGTTTCAGTGCAAGCCCAACATCAGCCAAGACGTACGGTCCTCCCCACCGGGAGATAAGGGTGCGCGAGAGATCGTCCACTCCCCTCTCCGCGAGCCAAAGTACGTCTTCAGTACGTCTTCTGAGGGCCAAAGTACCTTTACCCTGTTTTGAGAAGTGTGGCAGCTTGGGCTAGTTGGTATGGCATGACGATAGTTATAGCGCGAGAACAAAACGACGACACAGAGCGCTCGTGTCCTTCGTGTCCTTCTTGTCTCTGTGTCGTCGTTTTGTTCTCGCGCTATAACTATCGTCATCCTATTTTGAGCCCACAACGAATGGTGTGGCCGCAAGCCTAAATCGGTCCCATGTGACGTTGTACAACCTGTTAACGCCAAGAATATTGCAACGTGTTTTTTGAACAGAATGATAGACGACATCCTTGACTGCAATTAGAGGGATCTTTTTAAAAAGTTAGAAATTACTTTTTCGAGAAAATTTTTTCCCAACTTTTGGCGTTTTTGGTAAACCTCCTACGTTCCATCAAAACTATGCAGTAAAACCAAGTGCTATGAAATTGAGAAAGTTACCTCCACAATATGGTAATGCTATAAAAGTTCGTATGTACAGAATTTTATCACCCGCAGTTTAAATTGTTTGCAGCAATTAATTCCTGGAATACTGCTTTTGTGTGTGGTTTCCCATGTATGTGATTTTTTCCGGCGAGTTCTTCAGTGCGTATAAAAAGTAACTGCCCCCACGACATTTTATATCACTTGTTCCTTACGGGAAATAAGTACTGTATTTCACAAGCACACTGCTTTCTACTTACATGTGCTTAAGTTTCGTAAATCGTGAAAGTTGCAGACAAAATTTTTTCAATGTCTGAGGGCATATTTTTTCAAGCAAACGAAATTGCTTCTTTCCAAACACATACTTCTCAAGCACTGTTTTGACACTCCACACTAAATTTTATCAAAATTGGCAACGGTGACAAGGACATCGTGTTCAATCTTACACCTTCGCACAGAAGGCTCTGATTGTTCCGATTCAGGTTGCATGCAGGAGGTATATTTCTTGAATTCATGTTTACCTGTAATAATGTGTAGCCGTGGGGCTGGCTTAGCGTAACGGAAACTTCAATATCAAGTAAAATATATTTCATGCGCAGCGTGGCTTCAGGGTGCGGAGAGCGTTGATTGTACACACTATGGAAAGAAGAAATGTCCTTTTTGGGTGACTTAAAATTGAGCGAATTGCCCATAATGCTGTGGGAGCACACACTTACCCCCTCCCCTCCTCCACACACGCATCCATGCATTTGGGTTATAAAACTGTCCTTTTATACTTCGCATGTGTTCTCCTTGGCAATGTTATGAATAATGCAACTGAAAAAAAGCGATTCCTTCCGGAAACTTACTCTGGGCTCTCCGAGACTATACTTGTAGACCCGACGGAGGTCGTCCATGGATTGCCAGTGTGTCACCTTGATCATGATGAGTTTGGTTTCGACCATCATCCTCGCCTTCATCGACACTATGTCCCACTGCAGATGACAGCGGTGGAAGTTAAGGACAACGACTTCATGAAGTGGTTTGTACTGTTATTTCATTCTGCTTTGCTTTAGAACGCAAAGCATTAAGTGGCCGCTGCCTCGCGACAACCAGTACTTATTTACAGAAACGTTTCTGAGAGAACGTGAACGCGTACAGAAAGATACAGGATGTTTCAAGAAATATATATGAACATCCGTAAAAATGAACAAAACGTGAAATTTCCTCGTTGCCTTCGTAACGGCTCTTTCTGTAGCCGCAGGTATCTTACGATGACCAGAAAATTTACCTCGGTAATTAAATAGATTTTCTAAATTAACTTCCGAATTAGTTTGAACAGGAGATGGACTCACAGATATGGAGAAATTGGAGCAATTACTGCGAAGAACCCTTTGGTCGCTTTTAAACCCCAACCCCAGCAAAAAAGAAAACGTTGTGGGCGTGCATGGGTGAAAAAAGCAACTTCTCTCTCCTACTCTCGAGATTTTCATTCTTTTCTCCTTCCCCAGAGTTGGGTACCAGGCTAACCTCTCCGCTTTCATTTTACCTCACTCATCTTCCCTCTCTTCACTTCGAAAAAATGTCCATTTGTAATGAAATTCAACCGATTTCATCGGTGGAACCTAAACGTGGAAGAATGGAACTACCATAATCTTCATAGACGTCCCGATTGAGCTATAGACGAGAGCACGCATATCTCGAATTCAGGTGCCTTCAGCGGTATACCCTCGCTCCCAAAGACGCCATAATTTCTTTGCAACTGCCAAGGCACGCCTCGCTAGCATATAATGCAGTGGTTCTGGGAGTTGAATATGCGACAAAGCGCCTGTTCGAGCTGCGCCCGCTTGTAATATGTCATCTGGGTACCACTGCGCTGTCATCTGATGCGACAACAACCAGCGCATGAGGAAGAGAATGCTGAGCACTGCCTGTGAAGTTCACAGTACATCGCGGAAATCGGGCCGGTGCGGTGTTTTGCGATGGTACAGGTTTCCGTCCACAACGAAAAACGCAGAGCTCCACAACCTTAGGACATAATCGCGATCAGCAGAAAAAACTACGAGCCCAGTGAAGTGTACAAGTATATATATATATATATATATATATATATATATATATATATATATATATATATATATATATATATATATATATATATATATATATATATATATATATATATATATATATATATATATATATATATGCGTGTATTCAAGCGCGACTCCAGCTGTTTCACTTTACAGCAACGATTTGCGTGAAGTATGCCTGTAGTACGAGGCACAAAACTATTGGCGTATTCTTTCACAGGCCGCATGTCAATAATAGGATTGTTACGACAGTTACGACACACGGGTGGATGCACGCACCGCGCATGTTTAGTACAACTGCATCAACCTACTGCCGCGATGCGTGAATGGCGCGGAAAGCATATGACTTTCGAGTCGGTCGAATTGTGACATGCCTTGACTGTCACTAGGCGCATCTATATACACGTGCTTTTGACTGACGTCACCATAGCATTTTAAAATCTTGTTTTGGGTGGCACTTTTGCCCCGCACGTGTGTTCCGAGTGCCCGGCAGGACTGGCAATCGATACACATGCGGTGCATGAGCGCAAGCTGGAACTAGATTCTAGCACTACGTTGACGCCGGTTTACAGCACAAATTCTGCCTTGTTACAGCCAAGGCACGCCACAGTTCGACCGAGTTGAAAGCAACGCTTTCCGCTGTTCACGTTTCTTTCAATCGCAATGGTACGTACATGCTGAAGCTGCTTCCACAGTCTGCAATGCACGTGCTGCAGACATTCCGGACCGTCGAGGAAGGTCTCCTCGACGTTTCACACGAAATCATCATGAACTTCCAGCGCAGGAACAGTCCGAAACCATGTTTACAGTCGGACTCGAGTTGTGAAGTTTCGCGTTTGATTTGCAGAGCGTCTGCTCGCCTAGCCATTGAGAGTCTTCCTTCGCCGCGCTTGTGGTGCCACACGCTTTTGAATATGGCAGCAAGGACTGAGCTTGCTGTGTTTTGGTGTATACACCAGAACACAGCTCTCAACACTCTCAACTGCCAGGCGAGCAGACTCTCTGCAAATCAAACGCGAAACTTCACAACGTGAGTCCGGCTGTAAGCATGTTTCGCGTTGTTCCTGCGCTGGAAGTTTATGCTGATTTCGTGTGAAACGCCGACGAGACCTTCATCGACAGTTTGGAATGTCTGCAGCACGTGCATATCAGACTACGGAAGCAGGTTCAGCAGGTACGTACTATTGCGATTGAAAGAAACGCGAACAGCGGAAAGCGCTGCTTTCGACTCGGTCGAAGTGCGGTGTGCCTTGGCTGTGACGAGGTAAAATTTCTGCTTTAAGTCGTGTGGGAATTGAGGCTAGCCCGCTGCCTTTGCGCGGCCTTTGCCGCCTTTTCTGCCGCTCTCATGTCCCGACATGACTCCCCTCTTCCGCTGTCTTCCGCGCTGGGAAATCGAGGAATGACGTTTAACCCCTGTCACCCGGTAACGGATGTCGACTGTTTCGCCGCACACGGAGTCTCCCGGGAGGTTTTGTGCGTCGGGAGTGAGTCAGAGATTCTCCGGGAGAGCTTGCGGTGAGCACGTATTCTCTTTTCCGCCCGTCGACTCCCGTTGCTCGGGGCTCGTCGGACTTCGCTGACGGCGCCTCGCGCCCGAGGCGAACGCTCACCTTTTGTTGCCCCTTTGCGTACGCTCGACCGAAGGGTGGTACGGTGTCCTGGCGCGTGGTCAAGCTACGCAGACCCGTCTCCCTCCAAAGCCGACGCGAGTGCCTTTGCCCTCGCTTGGGCAACCGGGCCTTGGTGGCGGTGCCTCCGTAAATCACTCTAACCACGGAGACGTGCTCGTGGCACCCTGTGTAGTACTTTGCGCCCGTGGCGTGGATAAGCCCATTTGCTTTCTCACCGCGCTTTTGCAACGGGCTGTACTGCGTTTTGGTGTTGCCACAGGCAATAGAGTGTTGCGACCTTGAGCAGTATCGTGTTCTCGCCACGGCGACGGTTAACGCGGGCCCTGAGGCTCGCTAAGACCGGACCCACGCTAGTGTAGTGGCCATACGCCTTCGAGATACGTGTCACTACAGCCGGTGTCAACGTAGCGCTAGAATCTCGTTCAAACTTACGCTGATGCACCACATGTGTATCAATTGCCAGCCCTGTCGGGCACACGGAACACACACGCGCTGCAAAAATGCCAGCCAAAACAAGATGTTAAAATGCTACGGTGACGCCGGCCGAAAGTACGCGTAGATTCATCTACTGACAGTCAAAGCATGTCGCAGTTCGACCGAGTCGAAAGTTATGCTTTCCGCGCCGTTCACGCATCGCGATAGTAGGCCGTGGCTGTTGTACTAAACATGCGCGGTGCGTGCATCCACGCGTGAGTCGTAACGTGTATATCCTATTATTGACATGCGGCCTGCGAAAGAGTACGACAATAGTTGTGTGCCTCATACAGCAGACATACTGCACGCAAAATGCTGCTGTAAAGTGAAACAGCTGGAGTCGCGCTTGAATAAACGGAATAAGTACACTTATTTGTACACTTCAGTGGGCTCGTTGTTTTTCTTGCTGATTGCGATTTTATCCTAAAACGGTGGAGCTCTGCGTTTTTCATTGTGGACGGAAACCTAAGCAATCGCAAAACACCGCACCGACACGATTCACGCGATGCTCTGTAAACTTCACATGAAGTGCTCCGAAATCTCTTCCTTTTGCGCTGGTTGTTGTCTCATCAGATGACATTTTATAAGTGGGCGCAGCGTGAACAGGCGCTTTGTCGCATTTTATACTCCCAGCGCCACTGCATTTCATGCTAGCGAGGTGCGCCTTGGCAGTTGCAAACAAATTATGGCGTCTCTGGGAGCGAGGGTATACCACCAAAGTCGCCTGGGTGCGAGATAGGCGTGCTCTCGTCTATAGCGTCGTTATGCCAATCATCGACATACTTCATGTCGCGGGTGTGCGTGCGGCGCTTCAAATCAGAGCACCTGCGGCGCACGCAGGTTAACTAATGTAGAAGAGCTAACACTGCCTGCTACAATCTCAGTTGAATGAAAAACGGAGTCAATCCGGTCGCCTGCTAGCTGTGAGCATCTGCGCTACGGTGTCGGTTTCACAAGTGAATTTAGTTGAGTTTCTTCATGCCGCAATAACTACCACAGGCCACTTTTCAGAAATCTCAAGTCAGAAAGAAGTCTTCGTAGGAAGACTTCCATTCTCCCGCTCAAACTGGTCAGCTGTCTTTTCTAATTAAAAATTCGATCATCTCATTTTCTGTTTTTATGCTTTAATTATTGTTGTAGTCATCTTAAGATGTTCGCCATTACAAAAGAAAGGTAGTTATGAAGGTATATGGAGCTAATATCACTTTTATTTTGCTTTTTGTGTTTTAGGCCAGAAGTGTGACTCCGCCGAGTTGTTCATCCACGAACTTAACTTCCATTAGCGCCATACTTATAAAAAAGAAAAGACGACACAGACGTTAAGAAAAGTCGGCGCTAAATATGAAAGGTAGGCCTACCTTTCTTACCGTCGGAGCCACCTTTTTTTATGCACCACGCTTAATCAAGTGACGTTTATGGCCACAATTTTTTTAAAACACCCAGCATGCATATCGCTATACTCACTTTGTATTCGTGACTGAACTGTTCATCTTCGGGAAGGCGGTAGGCCTGCAAACATTGAGACATGGATGAAAGAGTGCCTATATACACGTGCACTTAACTTTAAAAGAACTTACTCATTGCGTCACACATTATACAGTCGACCGTTTATAAACAACATTTACGCAAACGCACCTTACGTACGACAACAACCAGCCACGATAATCACACTTTAGTGTAGATGGAATAAGCTCATCTTCGAGAGCCTTATGGCATATGAAAATGTTCAATGCAAAAAAAAAAAAAAACAGGCACTGAGGGGGAACTGCCGGTCACTCTGGTGAACTAACAAGTGTGCACCACCATGCCTTTCCCGTCGTTGTTTAAAGTGCATGCCAAGCAGGTTTTCCATTAATGGCTGCCGAGCACATGTGACACTATCTTTGCTCCTGGAAAGCCAGAGACTGGAGTCAGGCCATGGGGCAAATCATTGTATAATGTTCATTTTTGCATCAGTTAAAAAAGCTTGCTTCTTTAAGATTAGGTCAAGTGGTGAACGTGGGAGAATAAGCCCCCCCCCCCCCTTATTCAAATCACTGCCCCAGTGATTTGATCACTGCCCCAGTTATCAAATCACTGCCTCAGTGATTTGATTTTGGGGGTTTAACTTTCCAAAACCGCCATATGGTTATGAGAGACGCCGTAGTGAAGGGCTCCGAAAATTTCGACTACCTGGGATTCTTTAACGTGCGCCCAAATCTGAGCACAAAGGCCTACAGCATTTGCGCCTCCATCGGAAATGCAGCCAGTCACGGGATCGAATCCACAAGACCACCAAGGCGGGGCGGGGGGCAGGGGGGCTGTGCGCATTGGTCCAGCTTTTATAAGCAATGCGAACGCCGGTGCAAAATCCATGGGAACGTCGCTTTATCCCGTCGTTTTTTATGCCCCCTGCTTTGGTGCCTGCCACGGTTTATCTCAGGAGCGCTTGCAAGGAATCGGATTGAGAGAGATGGGAGACAGGCGTGGCAAAACACACACACTATCCCACCATACAATGACAAAATAATGAGAAAACAAAAACGAAACCAAACACTCGCGAGGACACAAAATTACTCCAATAACAACCTGTACATAGTCAAACCGAAACTGACTGTAGCCTAGTTCAAATCCGTCACCAGCCCTAGCCTCTAGTACTATAGTGAACTAGATAATTCATTGTACTAGTGCTAAGCCAATATGGCGTTTCAATAATGGAAGCTCTTTACAGTTCATCGTGTTTCCCCGTCGACTCGTTGCGCTTTGCTGTGTCGTCGCTTAGTCGAGCCGTCCGTTGACGTTCCCCGTGAGTTTCTATCGTCGAGGTCTTTTTCCGCCGAACGAGTCGCTCCACCGCATTGCCGGTCGGTTCCGGTCTTCGTCGCTCTACTCAGTTGTCAACGGCTTCTTGACTGTGGTGCGGGCCGCATTCGTTCTGGTTCGAAGTGGAAGAGCTGTAGTCCACCCACGAACTGCTGTGGCATGTTTCGGCGAATCCGGGCAGCCTCACTCGAGTCTTCCGACATTGACGGCCACTTCCTGAGCCTCTTCGGCGACAGCCTCAGAACCGGGCGGCTCTACTGCTTCTGTCGTGGTAGCGCCACTGACCTTCCCGATCTTCACAGTTCCACGCCCAAGCGCGCAGTGACAGCTCACCCTTCGGGATTTCCCATCACGGCTCGGGTCGCATGCCACTAGACTTCTTGTCTAATCTCGTACGTGAACGTGGCGCGTACGTGCACCGTCGGGGGTCTCGCGGACATGCGCCGAATTTCAGCGCCTGGAACGTGCCTCGTGTTCTCTTACTCGTGACAGTGACGAGCCTAATAAAATTGAAGGTTCATTAGTTGTAGCAGGTCTTCATTATCTACTGCAAAAGTCTGAAAGGGCAGCATCTCAAAACTCTTTTCTTTAACATTGGTTAGCAGTCATAGCGCTCAGAAGCACATCTGCTTCTTTTTTGGTTACTTCTCTCTAATTTACAAAATTGTATTTCTCGGTTTACATCACGTGGCAATTCAGCTTGGTTTGATGTAATGTTACGCACATCTTATATGTAAGTGTGTGAACCAGTTATACCAGAAACTAGCACTCCGCATTCCTTGGCTGAACCTGTTTGGCAATGAGATACACATAGAAAGAGTTTAGACGCGACATATAATTTGAAACAAAATTCGCAGACGGGCAGATTCTTCTTACAAGAGTTGAATAGCATTAGAAATACTAACAAATAAGAGATATCCTTGTGGCACCATGATAGCAAAGACGTGTTCCTTCATTTGCCGTATTGTAATTTTGTCGATGAAATTTGCAAGAATATTGACACAAGATGAATTTAGTCGCAGCTGTAATTCCAAGCATAAGACCTTTACAAGATAGTCTCCAATAATTGTACAAGTTTTCGAATGGTGTATTCTGGAATTCGTGAAATGTGTGGAATTGGCTTAGCTTATGAATACTTTGAAGGATATCACAATTCATAAAATACAGAGAGACCGAGAGAGACAAATCTTTGAATGAAGCATAAGTCACAAGTCGGTTGTCTTTTCGTGCTTCACATTCTTTGCTCCATTCTTAGCGAGGGTCTGGTTCTGGCAGACATGCTGCCGTCAGGTAGTATGTGAGCGAGTATTGGTCAGCTGCTAGCTCCTAATAAGATACCGTGCAACATGACGCCAACAGACTAGAATAAGAGTGTTTTACCCTCGTCACAATAGCGGCTGGTGGCACTGACTGACGCTCCCATATTTAAATGCACATACCAACTTAAGGTAGAAACTGTGACAATGGCGCTGGTTAAAATGCACACATATACTTTATGAAGAGAATGGGAGATGACCGCCCCCGTAGCTCAGTGGTGGAGCATTGGACGCGCTATTCAAAAGTCACAGGTCCGGATCCTGCTGGTAACAAGTTATCTTCTCATCCACTTTGCTTTTTTCACATTTACATTACAATTACTTCTAATAACATCCCCTATACTTGTCATGACATCTTTGTTCGTTAGTTCTCATTTTACTGTGTCTAACAAAGAAAATTGAGCCCTTAAATATAAGCATTTTTGGCATGCTCATAGCGCTGTTTTTCTAAAGAGCTTGGGTTTATCTTGGTTAAGTGTGTCTCATTTCTATCACAACTATTGCCAGAAATTTAGGTAGTGGATTCAGCATAATATAGAACTAGTCGTAGCTGTCTTAGATATCAGTGGTGCTAAAATATGATATTAATTGTGTTATAAGTTTGCATGCAGTGTACTGCACGTTGCTTGTTCTGTAGTCGTGCCTAATGTACTTAGGCAGTCAGTGGCTGTTTTATACGTATACTGTGACATAAACGTGAACCAGGGGAACAGCCCACGTAGAACTAACTTCCTATGGAGAGTAAAAATAATTGGTTGCAAGAATTTTTGTTATTTTAACGCTATAGCGTTAAAGAGCTAATTTTTCAGATATTAAGGCGTCAGTGTCGATGTCAGCGTCATTGGTTGTGAGCAAAAAATCATCTTTCCGCGACCAAAAAAAAAAAACCGAGAAAGGTGCAAACAAAATAAGTAATAAAAATTCTTGGTGTAAGTGGCGACTGAATCAGGGTCGTTTGCGTGGCAAGCGGGTGTTCTACTACACAGCCATGCCTCTGCTTATCAATACAGTGAAACTAACTTCGTGTGCATAGAAATGCAGTGGAAGTAACTGTCATGCTTTAAAAACACATGCGACCTGTAGACATACTTCACAACACAACATGAGCTATTGTCATAATAATGCATGTAACATGCAAGTGTACGTTGCGATCATACTTCAGACCATGTCAATTAAAATACTGACTTCATATCTTAAAGCCAATGACCCACTACAAAGGCACAGGCATTACTGCACCCTTATAGGCCACGTAGTGAATGCATAGCAAGTTCGAAAAGATTTCTTACGCTAAGCGTTTCAAGTACGCACTAGGAACAGAATATCGCTATCACTCTCAACTCTCAAAGGCGAAGTTCAAGGGTCTTTCAATTTTTTATTAAACATTTCGCTGACAATACCACGTAATGCGAATTTTGAGCGCAGCTTGGTGTTAGAGCCATCTGTGCATGTAGTTTCCGCAAGGTTCCGACTGAAACTTAAGTAATAATATTTGTCAGGTAGGACGACACCTACTACGTCATTATTAATCCTTCTGGGAATAAGCGAGATGTGCGCTTCGTTGATGCTGCACGTGGCTGATGATGGATCATTAGGGCTGAAAACTGTGTAGTGGATGAGAACTCATTGCGTATTCATCATTGCGCGTGATGCTTGCAGGGTTGTTGATCTGCTACTCTGCCGCGACTTATTACATAGGTGAATACGATTTCTGGCGCTACCTTTAAGGTCTTTTTGCAAACGGGTTTAGAACCTCAGTGTGGCTCTGTGTTGGAATACTTCCACTGCCACTCAGAATGACCGGGTTCATATCCTATACCATGTGTGTGGGTTACTTCTCTATCACCATCAACAGCGACGGTGAAGGCGACACCTCTCAACGCAAGAACGGACGCCCAAGAACTGCGCTCTCAAACTTTCAGATTGCTTTTCCAGTTGTACTGGCCGTGTTGCCGTTGGCCAGTCGTTGACGGCCCGAATAAAACACTCGCGAAGCGTGGCGATCTTTAGAAGTGGGAACTGTGACGCCAACCTGAGTGGGTCCCTCGGGTATCCACGCCTTGTAGCGGTAAAGCTTCCGCTTGCGCTGCAGTTCCTGTCTGCGCTGGTCCTGGTGGGGGTCGTCGTGGGGCAGCACGCAGTCGTAGAGCGCGACGAAGAAGTGCTGGTCGGCGGGCAGCCACCGGTGGAATGGAAACACGTACAGCTCGGCTGACAGCTGGTCTTGCACCTCGATGCGGTCCACGAACCAGGCGTGGCCGAAGCCGAAGCTGTCGCGCCACACCTCCACCTGCGACAGCACAACACGGTACGCCCTTAACCGCGTATCCTTTATGTACACCTTAACCAAAATTTATCCTTTATCCTCTAGGTTACATGGGTAGACGTTTTTGTGTTTTTGTCTTCCCAAGTTTTAAAGGCTTACATGCTGTTTTACAGAGCTTACAATCTAAATTTAAAGGTATATGGCTGGTGCATACCTTTAGCGGTGACCTTTAGAGCTTACGGAGTCTTCGCCGTATGCGTTTCGGCGTTAGGTTCAAGACGCAAGGATTACAGATTCGGTGGGGGCGAGACGGAAAGAAAATCCTATTGCTTTAATCACATGCGAGAACCCCTAAAATGATTTAATGCTTTCGTGTGCTCGAATACTGGCAAGTGCGCCGTCCATGGCTCACGGCGATGTGGGCGAGGTGGCTGTTAGAGCGAAGAAATACTTGGAGGGTCGTGACATTCTGAGGTGTGCTACCGCAACGTTCGTGATAACGAGAAAGTTTGTGCGGTATCTGCTTCTGTACCTCGTATTCTGCGTCGTTTTCTACCTAACCCCACCACTCATCGGTCGTGATTTGGAGCGATGTTTGCCAAAGGGAACTGCGAAAACACGACGGGATTTCTAACACGCGTCAATAACGAAGGTTCCTCGTGCGGATAGCTGTATCTTTGTTCGCAAATAATGGCACACCATCGACAAGCCTCTCTCTCTCTCTTTTCTCTGTGTATATATTGTCACGGGGTCGTGACGTGGTTGAAGGCAGGAGACGGAATGGTCAGATCAAACTGTTTATTTGGCTAAACCTGTGCCAACTAAACGGAGTGTAGGGTTACAGTAGCACACTTGCATTGATAGCAGTGCGTGCAGCGTCGGTCATCGATCAACTGACAGGCGGCGAAGCGCGTCAGCATTTATACACTTGCCATCGAATGTTCTAGAGTTATCGCTAGTGGTGACGTAGGTTCCAGAATTATCTGTGCAGTTCGCGGAGTGGGCGTTATCTTATCGAAATGATCTCCTACGGTCCTGAAGCTTCTCGAAAGCTGCAAGCGCGGTTTGCGCTAAGAATTATGTAGTGTATTGGTGCGATAACAAAACTTGAGAAAAGGAACGTGGCAATATACACACGCTAAATAGAAGCACACGTTATCGACCAACAGCCAGAGCTGCAAGAATTTATGCCCATAAAGCGCTGACAGGAACACTCTTGTGCTCCAAATTCAGCTTATGGTGGCTGAAACAAGCAATTGATTAATTTGCCTTCTACAATCCCAACGAAATTGTGTGATTCGAAGTTTTACGGGAAAAAATGCTGCAGATGTTATTTAATCATATGATGTAGTAGCGCAAATTCACGGTAACGAAGAGGACAAGAAAACACGACACTCACTACACTCGCAGCTAATTTTTTATTTCAGAAGCAGCACTTCATATATAACCCATAACCCTAGCGACACAGAACACAGATTCAGTGTTCGTAGTTCTTTTCTGTGTCGCTAGGGTTATGGGTTATATATGAAGTGCTGCTTCTGAAATAAAAATTAGTTGCGAGTGTAGCGAGTGTCGTGTTTTCTTGTCCTCTTCGTTCCCGTGAATTTGCGCTACTACAAACCATATGGTTAAATGATGTCTTACCAACTAGCCCAGCTCTCAACCCTACTGAGCTGCAGATGTTATTCTGAAAGTTATCTGCTTCGCGATTACAGCACTTTTCTTGCACTCAGCACCCTCTCCTGGCACCATCAGTCTCTCAGAAAACCCGCGTCTAGCCACTCATCCCAATACCTGAACGTGACGCGGTCGTGGTACACGTGTGGCGGCGTGCTCAATATAATTTTAAAATGCTCGTCAAGCACAAAGATATTTTTTGCCTGTGACGTGGTCGGTGCAATGAGCTCCGATGCGATTGCGAGCAAGATATGGTGGTTTGCGCTGTCGACAATGCCGAGGTTCGCATTCGATGCACAGTCCCGTTTTGACCACAGTCCCAGCCCCCATGCACAACAGAATTGCTGATCTTAGTAAGCAAAGCTTGGTTTTGCAGCCATTGTGCGTTTTCTCTTTTATGTGCCCTGAGAAGTGTTGTTGCTTTTCACGTAAAAGATTTAGGTGATCTACCTTTAGGATATAAATTTTGCCACATTATTTTGTTGAAATTAGTGCTCACTTGGAATTGACATATTTATCATGCGAGCGCGTAAGACTTGGTTTGCCTGCACGTGTGAGCTTAGCATCTTTTCGCAACATTGTTAGGCAAGGAGTGTTGCGTACCATGTTCTGGCTGATGTTGCGTTTTGCAGTGTAGTGTTTGTGCTAAATGTGTCGTCCGCCCCAGCACTTATTCAAACCTCACTCGGGTGCACTCGAGTGAAAAGGCGGCTCTGTGTTCTCTCGGTTACGCCCTTGAGCGGCCTCTCACTCTCTCCACGAGCACCTTGTTCTTCTCATGTTACCACGAGCGCAGCCAGAAAACGAAGCTGAAATGAGTGGATAACAATTTACCGGCGTGTTTTTTTGATCTAAAGAGCCGCGTTTACGGATCCAAAGAAAAATAGCTACTTCCATTGCGGTCCACCGAAGCATATGTATATGGTAGCAGAATGTGCCTGCATGTGTGAGCTGCTTGTTGCCGGTGTTATATGAGCACACGTACGCCAGACGGCATATGGGCATGAGGCCAGTCGGTGGCTTTTAATCTGCGCTGTGTTTTTTTTTTTTCACGCACAGGACCACAAATTTCTAACTATTATGCGCGAGCGCCGCCATGCGTTGACTCACTTCAAACGGTCCTCATTTGTCAGCTTACCTGATGCGCGGGGGCGCGTGGCGTATCTGCGGATTTCATTTCTTCAGAATATAATTTCATTTCTTCAGAATATAAAGGCATCTTCGGCTGATGGCACCGGTGGCGTTTTCTGTGCACCCGTGCCATGCCGTACGTTCGACTGGGCCCCACGAGTGCGGTGCCGCATGTTCGGCTGGGCAAGCCACGACACCAGTGCACGCCACGGTGGCACCGCGGAAGTCGACGGTGGAGCATGGTGCAATCCCATCAGCCCGCGCGTGCGGGCAGACGACGCAGTTACGTTTCATCATTTCAGGCGTAATTTACAGCTGGCGCTGCCGCATAACACGGCCGAATGGGACGGGAAAAGCGTGTGTAAGCCTCAATCGTTCAACCGTACTCACACAAGGCTACTTTTGATGCCAGGATTCCACTGGACACCGAAGGAGATGCGAAAATTACCGTAACCCCCTTCGAGTTGGAACAGAAAAGATGCAGCACAACCGCCTGGAAAACAGATGCGCACCGAATGGACACGATGCGTCTCGCAATTGTCTCTCATTGTTTGATTTTTTTTGTTTGCTCTCTTATTACCAACACAAACAGGACGCTGGAAATTGTCGTCTGCTAAATGACATCTCTCGCATACAGCGCTGCTGTAGCGGATTTGAATTTTGTGGTTCACGCGTTCGGCTGGCCCATAGCGAGGCGTGAAACTCGGGCGGTGTTTGACGTAACTTCCTTTCCGCCGTCACGGTGCCAGTGCACCTCAGCCGAAGATGCCACAAGATTCGAGTGAGACGTGCAGACTGTTCTTCTGAAGTGAGTTATTGCTGGGTGAGGTTTTCACGAAGGAACTAAGAAAGAGCCAAGCAGACAAAAGAAGAGAGGAAAACTTCATTTTTAGAGCAGTCGAAGTATTTACAAGGCTCATAAAAGCATTCCCTTATCATTGAGGTCAGTTATTTTCTTTTTTCTCTGCCTAACTCTAATCGAAAAGCGTGAAAGATGCTCTGATAAGTGCTCATGTGTCAAATGACGTGCAAAAAATGGACTTGGACGAATTCTGGGTGCCTATCAAATGGCTGCATTGATTATATAGCGCACTTTTTTTTGGGTCTTTGATTATTATGATTACAGGCTGCTCTACCAGCAGAAATAAAAAAATTTGCTGCACCACAAGGACGAAGCTTGGGTATACAAGAAACAATTTCCCTGAAGGAACGGAACATTGAGTGTGCCGCCACCATATGCTTTCTCATATACTATCTGCAAGAACTAATGCACCCGTCTGCTTTTTCGCAGACCATGAGTATGGTTCAAATACTTTTAGGACCTCAAGAACCTATGCCACGCGGAGTTATTCAAAACGATTGAAGCATTTCTTGGCACTTTTGACGAAAAAAGAAAGTGTGTGATCACGATATGCAATGCATTGGTCAAACTTTATTGTCAAAGACTATTTACACAGATATTTCTCAGTTCTCATATAAATATTTTTCCAGAAAAACGTTTCATTTATGTGCAACTGAATTATTTCATGTTTTTACACTTGAAAGAAAGTGCTTCATGCGTTTTATTTCTTTGACTAATTCGTTTAATTTGCTTTGCATTCGGGCGAATGTCTGAGAGCCTATGTGCTCCTGCATGAACTGTTCGGCTTTGTGTATGCCAAGCATTTTCACACATTTCTCACAGAAACTACGATCACACGCAGGCCATCAACAAATATTGATTAAACGTTTGTGTACTATTAAGCTAACAAGCATGGTAGGCCGATACGCATTTCTTTCAGGGCACCTTTGTTTTCCAAGTGAACGAAAGGAAAATGCAGCTTGCTGAATGGAAGAGATATGAACCCACAACCTTTGCATGTCCCGTGTGATGTTGTTTCTCTAATGGGGGAGTTTGCTCGAGGCTTGCTGAGGTTGGGCAAGGTCAATTCTATGCACTGCATGGTCTGCTGTATATTTCCAATAAAAGTTACGTTTGATGGTTCACAGTATAACCTTTCAGCTCAGAAGATTTTAAATTATCTATGCGCACACGAACACGCTATACCTCCAATAAAAGTTAAAGTTTTAGAGGTTGCTAGTTACCTTTTGCTTTAAAGGTTTCTCTGGGACATAGAAAAATACCTTACCTATATGGTAGAAGTTACAATATTAAAATGTAATGCATAAGCTTTAAATTATACAGATACAAATCATAAAAAAATGTATGCCTCTACTAAAGTTTACGCGGTTAAGAGTGTAGTGGAGACATGGACAAATTCAAAAATCACATGCAGTAAGTCTACTTGTCTAAACGTCGGCTCGACACAAACTCTGCTTACGGATTTTTCATCCTTTAACAATATTGTTTTAATACTCAGCTAAGGGAACACAGTGCATCTTTAAAGACAGTGGCCACCACTAACCTCGCCTCGCATTGTGTCGCATCCAAGCTGCCTATTTTCAGGAACTATAGGAGAGTTTGCAAGCATTCTTGTCACATTAACTTAAAAATGCTACATTGAAACTCGTAGCTAAATGAAGCGTGTTATCCTAAGTTGTCTCGACGGAATTTTTTTTTTTTGCAATGTATCCTTCTTCAGGTTCCTCAGTTGACGTGGAGAACACGCCGGGCAACTCATGTATATTGTCTGTGCTTTTATTTATTACCTTTTTCATTTGTTCATTTACAAGTACCTCATGGGTGTTACCTAAGAGCATTATGTGAGAGTGACTTGACAATGTGAATTGACAAGAAAACAAAAACAAAGAAAAGAAACCCAAGAGCACGTAATATACAAGGCAAAACGTTAGATCTATGGTGCAACACAGGTCGACACATATGTCTTGATATTTATGCATTATACATATTTGAGTGTTGTTGCATTATACCATTTAATGTATAAACATGATTTCAAGTGACCATATGAATTTGTCCACATTTGTCCTATGCATGTCGGTTTTTCATGGTCCTTGTTTATAATGCCCACTGTATAAGTGAAGATGAACCATTACAACCTTATACAAGTTACCGTCTTTTTGCAAAAAACACACACACACACACGTGAAGAGACACAATGTCAGAAAAAGCATCAAATCTGAGTATTTTAAGCCTGCTCGCGCTGTAACTGTAACATAATGCTGAGCATAGGTGTCGCCTATTGCAAACAGCTTGGTCCCACGCGACGACATAGAAAATTAGAGAGTGCCAGTTGTTTGGCTTGTATTTCATACCATTATAAAGCATTTTATTGTTCATGCAATAGCCAGCGTAGGCATTAAATTTGCTCTGAATATAAGACGTGACTAGAACATCACTAGAACTAGAAGTGGGTCGTTAATGACTGCAGAAACACACAGAAAACATTACGTCAGCATTAATCTTATGAGACGATTGCTTCAACCTGAACAACTAATTATCATACCAGATTATATGTGCACACTCAGAATAATATCCAGACGTCTGTTGCCCTTATATAAAAAGGAGTCGGCATTCGAAGGCTTGCCCATCAATCGCGGATGATATAGGTGTCTTTAAACGTTTACCATTTTCTTTTTCTGTTCGTCTGTCTTGCTTTAAATGCGGAGGGCAGTAGAAAATGAACTTGGAATAAATGTGGTGGTTTTTTTTTTCTTCATTGTTTTTTTTCTATCAATAGGCTGCTGATTCAAAATTCCATCGGTGTGTTTATTATTTAACAACGCGCTTGTAAAAAATGTGCTTGATCGCTTAGCTTCCAAGGTAGCATTTACATAGGCTCGATATCAGTGAGAAGATCGCTGAGACTGCTGTCTGCAATGATCTTGATTGTTTATTTTTGCCAATGTTTGTGTAGAGAGCTAAATATCACGTCCCTCACATCAAGCTTTCATATCACGAATAACACGTGACTCTATTTAACTATAACTATAAAGCGTTATTTTCTATGACAAGATGTTTTGGTAGGCGTCCTCAAGCAGCCGTCGATAGGCTCTTAGGAGCCCGCTTTTTTGCCGTATGCTATAATTTGGATGATCATTCCACGCCATATATTGCTTCAATTCTCGTATTGTCGATGTTTGCAACACACCCAACATCACCACCAAACACTGTTGCTGAAGTGAGCCTATAAAAGCTTCCACTGCAAAAAAAAAAAAAAAACGGATGATAGCGAGTGCGGACACATTGGAGGGCCCTTTACTCCTCATCATTCCTCAAGCAAGAGAATAAGAATGTAATCATTACGTGCGAAAGACATCCATGCATTGTAAAGTCTGGATAAGCAGTGCTAGTACCTTGGCGAGTGCTCCAAAGTTGTGGATTGGTTTGATGGAGAAGGAGGACGTTTCGCCTCGCTCGTGGTCGTTCTTGAAGGGGTGGTTGAGCGTGATGACGGGAGACTTCCGGCCATCAACGTCATGCAGACGCATCCAGACGTTAGCATCAGTACCAGCACCACGTCGGTCACCAGTGACGACCGAAATGTAGAAGCCACCATCGGTGAGCGAGTTCATTCGCGCCAGCACGGGACCCATGGCTGACCTCCGAGAGCCGGACACGTTAGCCTCACTCGCTCGATCGGCAACTGCACGAGAAAAGTGTTCACGAAGCTGGAAAAGCAAAACAAGAAAGGCTCGAGCCAGATAGACATTTCATTGTTTCGTCAGAAGCGGCTGATGTAAAGCCGACAGAAAAATGCATACAAAGCTGTCCTAGCAAGCGTGTTCGGAAGGCGCAATCAAGACGCCAACAAAAAAGAACCCCATAATAGGAGAGGTTTCGGCTGCTGTACGGGAGTCTTTTTCACAAATAATACATCAGTAATTGTGAACGAGGCTCTTGCATGGGAGCCGATAGATCTGTTATTTGAATGTTTTGAGATGCGAAGCTGCTTTTTAATAGCTTGTGTAAGGCTGCTTGTCCGTGTCTCCGTGCCAACGAGCCGCACCGCACCCCCATCGTGGCAGGTTTTGGGGTGGTGCCAAGTAGGTCACGCCTTCCCTTCGCAGTGCGCAGTAACGTCGCTCTCTCCCTCGCCTGCCACGCACTCATCACGTGTCACCTCTTTCTCGGCTTTATCTTCTACGCCGCTCGCAACGTTCAAGCGCAAATCGAGTAAATACTCTTTCGGTTGGTTTATCTGCGATGGAAACGACGCCGGAAAACGAAGCCCCTTCACCCGCCGAAACTATGCGCCGGAGCGATTTGGCCTAACACGGCCGTCACCAGCGTTGCGAGGGTTAGCAGAGCCGTCAGTGTTCTCAAATGGTGACGTCGTGCCGGCAACACTAACGAGGCCCGAGCCAGGGAAGACGAACGCAAGCTTCGACAGTGTAAGACCAACGACAGCGAGTCGAGCACGCCGATTGCGTTCGAGAATGGAAATAGCGCCCGGGTAACACCAACGAGACGCGAGCCAAGGAAGCCGAGCGGAAGCGCCGGCAGTTGCACGCCAGTGCCGGTGAATCCTCGATGTCGCCATCGTCAGGCAACGTCGTCGGCAACGTCTCGAAAGCGCCACGCGCCCTCCGCCAAAGCGTTCGCACGCAAACGCCGGGCTCCAGTGGCCGATCCGAGGCATCTTGCCGCCGCAATGCTGATCGCGTCTGCGCGTAGTGCTTGGCCAGAGCCGTCCGCGATGCCGCCAGCAAAGCTGGCGCCGACGCCCGCTTCAGACGAGAGTTCCTCTAACGTAGGTTCGGTCACGGTTGCCGCACGTGCGAACACCTGTGGTTCAACAACCACCTGTCAAACATCGGCTCCGTCCACAAACACAAACAGCTGAAGGCGGCGACGAAAGTGGTTCGGCGTGGACCCACCCAACTTCGCGGTCTGCGCCACTTGCAAGGAGTCACTGGCGTCAGGCAAGGTTCCGACGATGAACGTCACGCACGGTTACCGTTACCCGCTTCACCCGCCGGAACTTCCCCAGCTCAAGCGTTCTTCCAGCATTCGCGTCGACACCCGTTTCAACCAGGTCAACGCCGTGTGCACCACTGCTACTTCGCATCCCATCAGGGTTGCCTTCTGGGAGATGGTCCAGAATTTTTTCTTGTTACCAGCGTCTTTCTTTTACCTTTTCACCCCGAGTATACCAGACCTGATAAGTATTCACTGAATTCTCGATTGGACATTTCTGGCAGGCATAAACAGAACGTTGGTAACATAAATGTACAGTAACCTTACAATGCACCACATTCGAGCAGTGGGAGGCTTTATTCCTCAGCGCGTGCCCGGAGAGCACCCTCTAGGCAGTCCATTGATTCTACCAATACTAAAGCAGGACGTGACAGATTTTAATTAGGACATTCCTCTTCACAAACTGAGCCAATTTATCCTCCTGCGAAAATTGCACGTAGGCACATCTGATGGTTGGTTTGGAACCCAGATACCTCTGCACACAAGCTCTACTCGTCAGACCACCGAGTGGTCAGGGGCATTATAAAAGGTCATCACTTAAAGGTCGTGGACTTCATATCATTGCGAGTTTTCACAATTCCCTCGGTGATTATCAATTGCTTACTCTGTGCTCCCTTATTGGGTCAAATAAATGAGAATAATATGGCAGGTCAGTTTTAAAGCAAAATCCAGAAGGGCTGCTTTGTCAAGCTTTGCGTAGAGCTACGTAAAAAGACTATCTTTGCAGGAACTTTGAAAATTGTATGCAACCTTTGGCTCTAGTTGAATATTTAAATTATTAAAGATGGCTTTATTGTGCATAACGCAAAAGCATGCAGTTTAAGATGCTAGGATAGAAAGCTCGAAGGGTACCTGCAACGAAATAAGCCTGATGTAGCCGTTGCTGAAGCCAGTACAGCTGTTCGATCGTACACACGCATTGTGTTGAAGTCCTGCACTGAGCGAGGAACGACCCAGAGAGAGCTTCGTTTAGGCCAAGCATGATGTATACACGCTTCATTGAAAACGCGCACCTCGTGGATGTCGACGTCTTCTCTGCCATCAGAGCATTTGCAAGGACGTAAGAGCGCACGGATGGTAGCTTTGCTGGAAAGAGCTAGATCTAATAACGGCCTGTTTTGTCATGTACCGATTTTTGTGCGTTCCTCCACGTCAGAGCTCACCCCTCAGCTATGCTTACGACAAAATGTTTTTTTCATGAATGCTTGAAGGAAACATAGATGCGTGCAGAGAAAATGCCACAGAGAGACAGCTGGGTACGGACAGATAGGCACCGAAGTTCCGGATCAGCTGCGTGCTTCTTTGATTAAACTTGCGATGGACATTGTTTTGAGGACACGGTGAGTAAACATGCAATGCGTTCATAAATAATACAGCACATCTTTTCGCCGCTGCTGAGTATCGAATCGCGTGCGTAGCGGGATTTGACACCAATCTATCTATACAGGACGTCCCAATAATCACGCAGCACCATTAAAAAAAGGAGGAACGGCATTACACGAAACAATCCTCGTGCATATTGTTCCCTGTATACTTAAGTAGCCACTACTAAATTTTCCCTAATTCCTCAGAACCAATTAGTCTAATTATATTTGTAACTGGAATGCTACTCGTCTATTTATGAAAATGTCAACAAGGCAGATGTGCACCTGTTCGAATGACACCTGTCTGTGCTATTTCCGAAACGTATTTGCGTACTATTTTTCTTACAGCGAAAGCTGTTATGAGATCAGAACACGGGTCACGCGTGACGCCAGCAGTTGTCCGCCGCCGCCGGGGTCCATTACCACTATCGAAAGAAAGAAAAAATCTCAGCATTTAGTTAACACCAATGACACAATGGGATTTGAACTCGGCTCCGCTGCGTGCCAACTCACTATTCTACTACTGAGCACGCTAGTTCTTTTTTTTTCTTTATTGCATGAAACCATCACCAGTGGATTACGGACCACTTACTTCATCAGAAGTCAGGCAAACACACACAAGCGTCAAGAAGGGGAAGCCACTCCGGAACGGGGTCAAAAGTCTCAACAACACGGCGCACTTGAGCAGCTGCTTCTCGGAAGACAGATCTCGTCGACCGTGGTGACTCGGCGTGTCTATCAATCATGCGACTTTTCCATAGTGAATAATGCCCCAACTACATAAACAGGTCACATGGAATATTATCAGTCAGACTCTTTTTGAATGGAAGGAACCTAATACCATGAGCTGTGATTGGAAGTTCTTTTGTTATTGTTCTTTTAGAATGTCCCAAAAATAAAAAGCATCACAACAATGAATAAAACAATGCTCTATAGCCTCAGGTTGGTTGCAGAGACTACAATTTGCTGTCCAAAGTACATATACTGATTTTTCATTCAGCCACGCTTTAACTGGCAGCGTCGAAATGTGCAGTTTAAAGAAAAATGTTTTCGCTGAAGGAAATATTCACATTCTACGTACACGAAATAATGCATCGTGACCAGACAAAAGCGAATATGGCTTTCGATAAACGGGTTCGGGGAAAAGGTTATTCACAAGTGCAGCAGTTAAATTTGTTCTGTAGATAGCATACAAATATTCTAAGCTAAACCTGGCTTTCAAAGAAATTGGCAGTATCAACAATTTCTTTTAGGAATCCTCGCAACGGTAATTCCTTAGCAACGCTTGTTGTGTCATGAATAAAATAAAGGTGGTAACATAGACGGTTACAAAGAACCACTAAAAGAAAGGGGTGGCACACATCCTTGAGGTGAAAAAATCACAACACCAACTGTCGCACGAACAAATGCACAAGGCCGAGGCCCCCCTTTTCAAGGGGAAAAAAAAGAATGTCTCCTCCCATGGGTTCTCAGGAAGAGCTTCAAATAAAGCAGGCGAATATCCCATGAAAGGCTTGAATGTGCACACGAGAGAAGTGCAACACCTGCAGAACATAAATAAGCCTTGACGCAAGGAATATGTTGCACGCGTTCGCTCTGGCAAAAATGGAAAGCTTCCGTCCGTGACATGTTGCCACCTTTCGGTGGATCGTAGTTATCGCAGCGGTCCAGTGTGGGCCGCCACTGTTACGATAGTTATCGAGAGGCACATCAAGGTACTTCGAAGGAGTCGCATTCCAATGATTCTTTTCGAAGACCTAAGAAGTTTCAATCAACATGCCTAGCCAGAATCCACTACTTTTATTAAGATTTATGCTGGTGGCAGCCACTTCACAGAAACGTTAAGTAGTGTTGACTGCTTCTTGAACGCTGGGTTTATTAAAACAAAAGAAGGCAATGTCATCTGCACAAGCTAGAACTTTAACTTCCTCGGCATCATATCGGTAGCCTCTTATGCTATACTTTAGAAGCACACTTAATCATAATGGTTCCAGATAAATTGCAAAAAGCAAAGGCGAAGAGCTGACATCGCTGACGTACAGATGAACTTACTCTATTATATTGGAAAGTGTGCAGTTAACAATTAGCCTGGCAGTGCACTACTTATAACAGAGTGAAATACATCACAGTACATCACCCAACTGCAGGTGTCTTGGGAGCCAGAGCAAAAAGGCATGTTGTACCTTATCAAATGTTTTTAGCAAGGTGTATTTGAAGCAGGGCTACTTGGCCATGCTACAATCAATACACTCAAGATCTGACCGTGCAATATGAACGTTTGACAGCGAATTCCACATCTTTG